TATCTTCTAAATCCTAAATTCTAAACCCTAAACCTAAAATTATAAACCCTAGATTCTATACCCTAAACCCTAAATTCAAAATCTTAAACCCTAAATTCTAAACCCTAAATTCTAAACACTAAATTCTAAACTCTAACCTCTAAACCCTAAATTTTTAACCCTAAATCCTAAATTCTTAACCCTTAACTCTAAATTATAAACTATATATTTTCTACAAAATTAATTAAGGATACTATGGTCTTTTGATTATCAAAATTTTAAGGGTAAAGATGATTAATGTAAAAGTGAAATAGTGTATCATGGATGTGCTATTATATTTTACCATATACATACAACATGTTTCTAAGTTCTAAACTATGTGTGGTCCCTTTTCCATTTTTATACTGAATTTTAAAAAATTCTTAAAGTTAATAATATTTATTGATACTTCACAATAGCTAAATACACTTTTAGTTAAGTTATGCTCTTAAAATATGGTTATTATGTTTTCATATTTTACTACATGAACTAAACCTAAATCTAGAAAAGAATACGGTTCAGTTAATAAAATAAAATAAAATAAACAGAAACCTATTCAAAATCAGTTTTGGCAAAGCTAAATCTTTTTGTTCTTATTAGTGAAGAAAGTATATATTATACTCCCTTAATTTTAAAATATAAGATGTTATGACTAAAATCATAAGAAACTTTTTTTTTCCTGAAAAAAATTTCATAAGAAACTTGTTTTTGTATAAAAAGTATCATTAAATTACTTATTAAAAATGATTCCAATTCTAAAAAGATTATCAAAAATAACTAATTAAACAATTTTAAAAAAATTAAAAGTTAATCTTAACTTTTAAAACATTGTATATTTTAAATACCCATAAACTTTCTAAACGTCATAATATAAAATAGAGGGAATATGTAATGAGGCCAAGGTTTCACAAAAAAAAAAAAACCGTTAAATAAAAGAGTAATAGTGAGTCTTTCTTTAGTTAAGAAGTTTATGTGTCATGTCGTAAACTAGTGGAGTTAGTTTCCGAATCTTGAGCAATTACAATGAAAATTTCTCAACATAAAATTTTCAAAATACTTTAGTATTTTATGCTTTTACGCATTTGTTTCAAGTTGTTAAGTCTATAGAGCTTGTCCTATTTCTGATAGTAAAGAACAAGTTTTCAATCACAGAACAACAAATTCAAAAGAACAAAAATACACAAAATAGAGAAAAGTATATAACACTAAAAGGAAGCATATGATAAAGTATTATGCCGACAAAAATTTTATTACCTAAAATCAGGGTTAAGAAAGTTATTGGTATTTGTTCAACAAAAAAAAGTTATTGGTAAATTTGTGAAATGGAAAAGGTACGAGGAGGAGAAAAATTAAAGGGATCATTTGAAAAATATAATCTAATAATAGTTTAGAATTTGAGAATTACACTTTATTTGTTAAAAACTACACTTATTACATATGAAAAGGCATTTGTATCCCGTATTATATACTTGAATATAGACAATATAAATTTGAATCTAATAATATTAACAATAATAATAATAATATTATTATTTTTATCACTATATTTATTTATGTTTATGTAAATATATGTTTGACATAAATATATTATCTTACTACATGACTTCTTTGATATGTGATTTTAGTTGGACCTTCCATTAAAAGTTTCTAAAATTATTTTTTAAGACTAGTAATATAAAATCTGTGTAACTACTATAATTATAATATCTTCTAATATTTTTTCTTTTTAATTTTTCTTTTAACAAATTTGTTGAAAAAGATTTTGTCAAGATGAAAATTTCAAAACTTTTATGTAAATATTTTCATTAATTAGTAATAAAGTATTATTATATATTAAATATATTCAGTTAACGTTTATAAAATGAAATAGAATTTTTATCATATTTTTATTTATTTTATAATTATAATATATCATATTAAAATGATTATTATATTGAACTAAATATCAAAAAAATATATTAAAGTGATATGTTAATATATTTTATTTTCATGAATATAAATAATTAAGTTAAAATAATATATATGTTGGCTAAACGAGTTAACATACTACACAATATAATACACTATATAATACTTGTATACAACTTATGTATCTTAAGTTTTATATATATAACAATATATTATCTAAAATTAATAAGCATAAAAATTTACTGAATGGTAGCTCTGAAGTGCAGGTAAGAGTTTAAAATTATAAATACAAATTAATTTTTAAATATGTTGTTTACTGCATATATTAATTTGTTTAATAATCAAATACAAATTCAACAAAATAAATATATAATAAGAAGTGACAAAAACATGTGACAATTTTTAAAAAAATTGATTAACTACATCATGTAAACTATAAAATTATTTTATTTGAATATTTAAATAAAAATAAATATATAATTAAAATTTTAAAATATACAATATTAATGATGTAAACAAATATTTATATAAATAAAATCAAACATCCGGTTGCGCGGATCAAAATATAGTTTAGAATTTAAATTACCCTTTAAAGTACCAATAGTATTATGAAATACAAAAATTATGATGTTTGTGATTTTATCTTGAAATTTATCCATGTAAAATTTTACTTATTAATCTTACAAAGATAAGTTTCCTCGCAATTGTCATTCTGTATAGAAAAGTTTACGTATTTACTACAAACATATTCATCCCACTCTCCAAGAACTTCAGATATAAGAAGCATGATCTTCAAAATATATATATAAACAGAATTAGAAGCCGAAAACAAAATTAAAATCATCAAAAAACTCACTTTAAATTTCGCGCGCATTAGAGAACTATTAAAAAGCGAGATGGTAAAGCTATAGAGATCAAATATATGTTTAACGAGGAAAAAACAACTTGGACAACAACATAAATGAAAATTTTACAAAATTAGATTACACTTAAAATATGGGTGAAAATTAATAAATCAGTGAATGAAAAGTAGAAGAAACTAGGAAACAAGAGAAATGAAAAATGCTTAGCAAAAGTGGAGAATAAGAGATCAAAGAGAAGAAGAAGCAATCATGCAGGAGACAAAGTTTGATTTTTTTTAAAAAAACAAAAATTTAAGATATATTAAAAAGATATCGGGTAAATATTACTAAAAAAAATCTTCTTCTTTTTTAAACTGTTAATAAATATAAATAAACTATGATGATAAAAAATTTGATAATAATATTTATAAAGGATAATTTAGTAAAAAAATCTTCTTCTTTTTTCATATTGTTCAAAAAACTTAAATGATGGTGTAGTTGTCAAATTAAAATCTCATATAAGTATAGTTTTCCAAAATTTAAACTACGTGAAAAAATTATCTTTCTATTTTATCTCATATTTTTTTGTGTAACATTAAAATCATGTTTTTCTTGATTGGTTAAAAACAGATTAAGTCAACAGAAAGTTGTTACTTTAATTTATTAATACTAAACATTTCATCCCATTACACTCTTCATTAATTATTATTATTATTATTATTTTATTATTATTATTATCTTTTGCAATATAAATATGACAAGTAGAGAGAGTGGGAACTTTCACCAACCCAAATAAAAATAATCATCCACTGATTATGTTCGCATAACTAATAATTGAGAGATGGTATGAATTAAACCTAGAAAAGAATATGGTTCTTTTTAATAAAATAATAAAACAGACAAAATCTATTCAAAATCAATTTTGGGAAAGCTACATCTTATCGTCTTTAGAGAAGAAAGTATATAACTTAAACAGTTGACAATAAAAATAAATTAGAGCAAGGTTTAGCAATAAAAATAACACAAAATTGCAAAAGTATCCAATCCAAAAGAAAGAGGCATATATTAAAGTATTGGTGTCGAGGAAAACCTGATACCTAAATACCTAATCCGGGTTAGGTACGTAAGTTTAGGAAACGGGGGCAATTCCCAGATTTTTTGATATCATATTTAAAATACTCAGGCTGTGATTGGAACAAGTGAGTAAATGTGTAAATGAAAAATGTAAAACAAGCATATAAAAATGTAAAAGAAGAAGAAAAAGTAAAAACGAAACTCAGCGCAAAATTTCTCTTTCTAATAATTTAGAGAAAACAAATTACCTTACTTTTATTTATTTTTCTGGAAACATGTTTTTCTTGCTTGGTTAGAAACAGAGTAAATTAGCAGAAATTTAGTTACTCTAAACATTTCATCGAGTCACACTCTTAATTAAGTTTACTACAATTATTAGAGCAGGTGCAATGCAGGATTTAAATAAATCCTTAGCGTTGAAATCAATGTAAATTAGAGTTTAATAATATTATTCATGTTATGTGAACTAAAGATGAATCTTTATATAAGGTGTGTAAGGATTGAATCATTAACACGTGTCAGTTGCTGTAGGAAGAGAAAAATCATCTGTTTTTTTGTTTGCTTTTCCGAATCTTATACATACGTGTACCTGTGAAAAAGATTAAATGGTGATTTTATGAATATCTCTCTTTTTCATTGCTTTTAATTTTATAGAAAACTTTAATGGAAAAGGTCTGATGCGTTACTACATGGAAAAATAGATTTTATAAATATCGTGATTTCAGTAATTTAAAAAGAAAATGATCTTTACTTACAAATGAGTTTCTTAAAAAACAATTTATAAATGATGATATACATGAACAACTGAAAAATGATTTGGTTGAAAATATTTGGAACAAATTTGGTAGTGATGATATGTATAATTATTGTATGTTTAAATTTAATCTTTCAATAAATAAAAATTTTAAATTTAAATATTTTAAAATTTTAATTGTTTTAAATTTCTAAGAATTCCATAATGGATAACACTATTGGACACACATGTTAGATTAGAGTTCTTAACTATTCTAAAAAAAAATATTAATTTTTAATGGCTAAGGACTCCAATGGTGGTAACACCACACCATTGGAGGTGCTCTTATTATCTTTTGCAATATAAATATGACAAGTAGATAGAGTAGGAACTTCACCAACCCAACTAAAAATAATCATCCACTGATTATGTTCGCATAACTAATAATTGAGAGATGGTAAGCAAGTGCGGTTTCGTGAGTGTTGTATGGGCATTATTGGTATTAACCATCTTCTATAATCCAACCATCGTCTACGCCGGCGAGGGTGTTCCGGAGGTAGCGCTGTTCGCTTTCGGAGACTCGTCTTATGACGCCGGAAACGCAGCGTTTATAAGCACAAACAAAGGCCAACCACAATTCAATTGGCCTTATGGCAAGTCCCGTGACGATCCTAACGGCAAGTTTTCAGATGGCCACATCGTCACCGACTTTATTGGTACGTCTCTTTGACATGATATTATTCACTATATATAAAGCTTAGTATATACATGATAGTTTAATAATATTAACAATGGTGACTGTATAGGCGACTTCATATCTATACCTGATGGAATCCCGCCAGCGCTAAACCCGGGAGCTAATCTTTCACGTGGGGCTAGTTTTGCCGTCGCCGATGCTTCTATCCTTGGGGCTCCGGCAGGATCTGTAAGTTCGTTTTCACTAAAATTTAAAAGAAAAATATATTCGCAACTTTGGATATATGTTAAAGTGAATAGATGTTAGCTTTCATTTCTTTCAAACTGTTGCAGCTGGCGTTGTTTTATTTATTTCAAAGAGATACGATTAATTAGGTTATTCTAGGCGAGTTTTTACAACCCTTTGAAAATTTAGGGAAAAAAAAACTGGAAAAAGAAGTGCATAATTGAGAAGCCAGGACTCTTTTATCTTTGGTTGTCATGGGAAAATAATATACGTGATGAACAAAAAACGATGTTGTTAACACTGAACATTTTTGTGTATGTAATAATCATGTTACTTTTCTTTCTTTTGACTAACATATTGTTTGTTTTGTTTAAAAAGTACATTTTGATTAGTTTATTATGTGTGTGCATGTCCGTAAGAGAAGTTACGACATGATTAACCCGATCTTTTAGCTAGGGTTTTTAACTAATGATCTGATATTTTTTTGTTTTTTTACACTTTTCGACTAAGAGACAGTCTTTAAAACATGTTTATCACATGGACTCTTAAAATGGAGTTCTTACTAACAATATCAATATTTTAGTATATTATAAATAAATAATTAAATTTTAATTAAAATTAAATAGCTAAATTAATTAGAAGTTGCCAAGTGGAGGAAAGATGCAAGATTAAATTAAGAGACGACTCTTACATTTCTTAAATAAGAGACATATCTTAATTTTCTTTCATATTTTTAATTACTTTTTTATAGTTAGAAATTTGATAAAAATCTTGCAATAAACATGCTCTTATATCTCTTATTTAAGAGACGGTTCTTACTTCTTAGTGTTTCTTAGTTAAAATCTAAAAAAAAATTAAGAACGTCTTTTAATCGAAGCTAAGAACCTCAATTAAGAGATTGGGGTTAATGATAGTCTTATGACATTCAAATTGAAGTCTCTTAAAAAATAATAATATTTTAATAGAAAAGCCTTTTTTTTAAGGAAATTATGCTAGAAATTTTAAGTGAGAGATTTTACATTAATATTTTGAAAATTTGAGCTATTGTTTAATTAAATATGTTTGGGTAGGCGTTTATAGTAAGATAAATTTTGATGCAAATGTTTTTACATTGAAATGTGACTGACAGCCATAATTGTAGTAATTAATTTCTTCGTGAATATCTAGATGACACTGAATCAACAAGTGAATAAGTTCAGAACTATGAAATCGACTTGGACCGACGACTACATTGAGAAGTCACTCTTTATGATATACATCGGTATGGAAGATTATCTCAACTTCAGCAAGACCAATCCCAGTGCAAACGACCCTTCTGCTCAGCAAGCTTTTGTCGTTACCGTCACTAACAAACTAAGGAATGACATCGGCGTGAGTTGCATAAACCATTGCATGCGTTTTTTATACTTCACATATATTCAGTTATTAATATATACGTATATATATTTGATAGTTATTATACTCCCTGGGAGCGAGTAAGTTCATGGTTCAGTTACTAGCACCGTTGGGTTGTTTACCGATCATCAGACAAGAACATGGAACCGGCAACGATTGTTACCAGCCACTCAATGATTTGGCCAAACAACACAACGACAAGATCGGTCCAATGTTGAACCAATTTGCAAAAACATCCCCTGGTTTTCAGTTCACCGTCTTCGATTTCTACAACGCCATCATTCGTAGGACACAGAGAAATACAAACTACCGTAAAACCAATCTCTTAACCAGAAACTTAGTGAGACATATATCATATTTAATTAACCTAATCGTTTGTTTTTTTCTTAAAATGTTTAATAGGATTCTACGTGGCGAACTCATCATGTTGCGGTGTTGGGACACACAATGCGTACGGTTGCGGGATGGGGAACGTGCACTCAAAGCTATGTGAGTACCAAAGATCGTACCTCTATTTCGACGGACGTCATAACACAGAGAAGGCACAAGAGGAATTTGCTCATCTAGCGTATGGAGCCAACACTAACGTGGTCCAACCAATGACGATCCGTGAGTTAATTGTCTATCCTGTTGGACAGAACATGCTTGACGTTTGGGTGCCTAACTTGTTGTCATCAATCCGTCGTCGTCCATCTACCTATTATTCCCACCAGCCTGATTCCCACATCGGTTTCTCGGCTTACTAATCGTCTTAGATGAGTTTGAGCTGAATCAGTCCATATATGTGAGCACCTTGTCGTATGTTGTATCGTTTTCGTTTCGTCGTAAATCTACTTATGACGTACGTTGAATAAATGGCTGTTTATTTATCTTTTTTTGTATTTCAGTTTCGTTGTCTATCAACATAAATAAGAGATATTGCAAATGTTTCGACAGTTTGATCACTGGCTCATTGTCTGATGTACCATTTAGATCATCTCCAATGGTTTACATTATTTTTACTATAGAATAGAATCACTATATAATAAAATTGTAATTTACTGTATTAGTACTCTAGTTTTGAATGAAAAATAGAGTGATGAACAAAAAAAATTACTCTATATTTAGATTAAACATATTTTTCACTCTATTATAAAGCGAGATATAGAGTACCATGGTTTATTTAGGATTGTGAAGAAGTACATATTTAACAAACTAATTTTTGTCACACACCTAAAAAAAATTTAAGAGGTCATCTTCGATTTCCATTGAGAAAAGTTTATTCGCCAAAATGAAGTAGTGTAATATGGCTGAATTAGTATTTTTTGAGCACCATACCACACTTATTATATGCTATTATTGATGGTTGCCTCTTTAACATGTAGAGGCGGACTCAAATTATATTTTACCAGATACATACAACATGTTTCTAAGTTCTAACTATGTAAAACTGATGGTGGTCCCCTTTCCATTTTTATACTGAATTTAAAAAAAAAATCTTAAAGTTAATAATATTTATTGATACTTCACAATAGCTAAATATACTTTTAGTTAAGTTATGGTCTTAAAATATGGTTATTATGTTTTCATATTTTACTACATGAACTAAACCTAAATCTAGAAAAGAATACGGTTCAGTTAATAAAATAAAATAAAATAAACAGAAACCTATTCAAAATCAGTTTTGGCAAAGCTAAATCTTTTTGTTATTATTAGTGAAGAAAGTATATATTATACTCCCTTAATTTTAAAATATAAGATGTTATGACTACAATCATAAGAAACTTTTTTTTACTGAAAAAAATATCATAAGAAACTTGTTTTTGTATAAAAAATATCATTAAATTACTTATTAAAATGATTCCAATTATAAAAAGATTATCAAAAATAACTAATAAAAATTTTAAAAACAACTGAAAGTTAATCTTTAAAACATTGTATATTTTTAAATAACCATAAACTTTCTAAACGTCATAATATAAAATAGAGGAAATATGTGATGAGGCCAAGGTTTCACAAAAAAAAAGTTAAATAAAAGAGTAGTTAGTGAGTCATTGTTTAGTGGATTTTTAACATAAAAACCCCTCAACTAAGTTTGTTTTGGGTAAAAACCCCTAAACTAAATATTTAATGAAAAAACCCCTAAACTAACTTTATTTAGTGAATTAAATCCTCGCCGGTCATAATTACATGTACTACCGGTAAATCTTCAGTTTAGAGGTTTTATCATTAAACACAAAAATCAATATAATTCAAAATATAGTAACATTATCTAAAAATTCGTAATTTTAATTTTCAAAACTTGCATTGAAAAAAAAAACATTCGGTAACTATATGAGTCCGATTTGTTATCCTTTTAAAATCAAAATTATATATGTATAAATTTAAAATGTAAAAACCAAGAAAATATAACAAAAATTATCTAATGATTTACGTGTAATAAAAATTATCAGAAGTTATAAATATAAAAACAAGAAAACAGAATAAAAATTATATTTTATTTAATAAAAAATGTAATAATAAATCTTTAGATGATTTTTATTATATTTTGGTGTTTTAAAATTTTAATCTATATACATATATATATATATATAATGTTAATGTTAAAACAAATCAAACTCATATATTTACAGAAAGTTTGAAAAATGCTAATTTTAAAAATTTAAGTTACTAATTTTTAGATAATGTTATAATTTTTTTTAGATTTTTAACGATAAAAACCCTTCAACTATCTTTAATATGGGAGTTTACTTGTTAGTTTGGGGGGTTTTACCCAAAAAACGTAGTTAAGGTATTTTAGAGTTAAAAATCCATTTTACAAGGATAAGAAATCACGCTTATATTTACAAAAAAAAAATTAAAATGCTAGTTTTGAAAATTAAAATTACGAATTTTTAAATAATGTTATTATATTTTGATTTTTTTTATTTTTTTTATTTTTTATGTTTAATGATAAAACCCCTAAACTAAAAATTTACCGGTAGCACTGGTAATTATGACTGGCGAGGGTTTAATTCACTAAATAAATGTAGTTTGGAGGTTTTTTCATTAAATACTTAGTTTAGGGTTTTTATCCAAAACAAACTTAGTTGATGGGTCTTTATGTTAAAAATCCTTGTTTAGTTAAGAAGTTTATGTGCATGTCGCAATAATTTTGATGTTGACGCACCGCAGCCGTTGTTGTCTATGCGGGTAGTGAACAAATTAATATTACAAAAAGCTAAAAAGTAAGAAAGAGAAGCAAAATAGATATAAAGGGCAATAAATTCCCTAAGTATTTGAATTTGGCAATTTTAATACTCAAATATTACTCGCGCATAATTATTCCCAACTAATAGTTGACTGCACGAAATTAGCAACGAAATAGTCAACCGTTAACTGATTAACGGAAAGATAACGGTTTCCGTCAACGTTTAAACATTCGACTATTTCGTTCCTAATTTCACACAGTCAACTATTAGTTGGAGAATAGTTCTGCGTAAGAAATACTTGAGTATTTAATTTGCCGATTGAAAATACTTGAGGAATTTAAAACATCAATACTTAAAATATATATATATATATATATATATAATTTAAAAGATTTTCAAGTCAGATATAATCAATATATGAGATTTTTACTTTTTGAA